ATAAACTTTAGTTACAATCCCTTTAACATGCAATGATACAGAGAAATTATCTGCAAGATTTTAAAACAAGCCAGGAGTGTTTTTGATTACCTAATCAGAAAGAAACCTTGCCAAGAAAAACAATAAAAAATCTGTAAAAACTCGAAATTAAATTTATAGGTTAAAGAAGTATAAAACATGTTGTTATCTGTCGAAACTATATACTTTTATGTTTTTATACGCCCACATCTCTCTATGTGGACGTATATTGTCGGCACCCCTGTCCGTCCGTCCGTCCGTCCGTTCGTCAACATTTGATTGTAAGCGCTCTACAAACTAGATTTTTTGATGGAATCAAATGAAATTCGGTATGTGTATACATATTCATAAAACGAAGATCAAGTTCGAATTTGAGCAGAGTTATTGCCCTTGCTCCAAAATCTTGAATATTTACCATCCGCCGTGGTGGGCGTATAGATGGCTGTAGTCCACTATTAGTTTATCTTTTAGTTTTCAGCGGGTCATTATTGTGCTTTTTTCAAATATGAAAGTCTAAAGCCGTTAAGAGGTTGTTATCTCCCCCTCCCCCTCCTTTGACAATTCCGTGGCTCCTGCTCGACGCTTTCACTTAATGCCAAGTTGTCATCCTTGTACGGATTGGTTGTTTCTTGCCATTTTACTTTCGGACGCCAGTATTCCCCATTGTGGAACTATTGACATTCTTTGGAACGAAGAAACTTTGATTTGAAGAAAAGTTTCAGGATATTAGAATGCGGAAACTGGTCATGATGACTTGTGATACATTAACGAGAAAGTAATGGCAGTAAAATGTCAAAACAACATTAAACTTAAGATAACATTCCTGCTATAATTCCAATTTATGTCAAAGTGAGGATTTTTTTAAATCTACTTTAAATTTCAGGCATGAATGCTATTCCACAAGAACATCCGATGTCACTTTGCTCAGTGGAGACCCACGCACATATTTTTGCAATGAATTACATGTAAAAGTTGTTTGCACATTTTCTTCAAATTTGTCATACACCAGAAAAAGCGACCAATCCTACAGAAAGTTACCTTATTCCCAACAATTGGCGTGTTTTGCCAGGAGGGCGTGCGGCCAATTTCGTTCTGAATGACATAGATTTGCAGATCTACTTTGTAAAAAGGATGGTCGAAAACTCTCGAAAAACAATGCAAAATCATTCAGACAAACCCATAGCCAAGTTATCCACGCTTCTATATAACGCTGGTTTGATACACGTGCATATAAACTATATAAACCTAGTTAACTTACCCGGACGTAGACGGCTGTAAAAACCAGTCCTAATAACAAGGCTACAATCCACTTTCTCATCCTGGCTTCCTGGAAAATAAACAAAGATGTTATTAGCCCACTAGGTAAAGAACTTTAATATCAGCAGATTATACCTGACATAGGGTAATGGCCGTGTCCGGGCCCGTATTTTGTAGTGGTGTAGTCAGGATTTCAATGCAATTTTCTAATATAGGAAGGCGGGGAATACATCTAACGAACGATTTCGGCAATGTTGAATAAACCCCGTACCGTACCGGACATGGTACATAAGCTTTATAAGATTGACAGTGAAATTGGGTCATGTTTCACCGTACACGTGTAATATTATGAACATGCATTGTAACGTTATAACTTAATTGACAGGCACTAGCAGGTACATGAGGTCAATCGGTCAGTCAATTGTACTAAATCATGACCTTATTTGACCCTATGTCTGACCCGTATCAGCCGT